GACAAAGCAGTACACCAGCAAAGGGTAGCACTACTCAGGAAGGATCACCAAGGGAAAATACCTGCTATTCCAAATCAAGAGATAAGGTTACTGAACGTCCCCAAATCCTGGACTTACCACATGCCCAGATGTGTTTGTCAATAAGGACACTTTCTTCCTATCTTTTCTAAATTCCTATGGGCTCTGTTAGCAAAGATGATTGTAGAGGATTTACTTTATGTAAATTTGGCTATTGGAACAAAGAGTGGATATTAATGCTCTGAGGCAGCATCACATGGGGGATGTGGGAAGGTCAGTTCATTGCCTGTGCAGGAGAGAAAAATTACACTGCTGAGACATTTCCAGAATGAGTCCCATTTTGAATGGAGAAATGTCATGATTTCTCAAGATTTTCATGGAATTGACAGTGTCTTATCCAAAAGACAAACATTCCTCCAGCTCTGCTAAACAGGTTCTCCATACGGAGTGTACAAATACACTTTCCATGGATCTGTTGTTTGGTTTATGAGCTCCACATTTACTGTATATTACTTGTGGACTCACCATGCATGCTGTATTCAAGCCTGAGTGCTTCAGTGTCTCTACCAAGACCCCACATGAAGACACAATTATGAAGCTGTTTTTGGCTCTATTTATGTGTTCTAAAACCTTTGTTTTTAGCTTTCTCAGGTGTTATGTGGAAATTTGTGTCCCATCTCGGATGCCAAATATACCCATAGGCTTTTCTGCATCCTGCCTTGTCTTGCAATGCTTATAAAATAAACAATCAGAGTCTTAATATTAACCATAATTGTTTGGTCAATGATCTAAGCTTATTATTAGCTAGTTCTTACATGTAAATTAATCCATTTTTATTCATCTGTGTACCACCATGTGCCCCATGGTTTACCAGTAATGCTCTGGCATCTTATTCCTCCATTGGATGCTGGCATCTCTTTTGACTCCACCTTCTTCCTCCCTGTATTCAGTTTGGCTTCTCAACCTCGATGTATTCTGCCCTGCTTTAGGCTAAAGCAGCTTTATTCACCAACCAAGAAAAATAGCACATATTTATATCATTAGGAAGATTGGGAAACACTACTTTAACCAGTGAGATCTTTAGAGGTTTATTAGTCACACTTATCATGCAATTGAACATGCTCAGATTTTTTGTCATTATTTTCTAAATAACTCAATAAAACATCTACCTATCTGATATTTATATTAAATTATTTATGATAAGTCTCTTAGGGTTTTATTGCTGTGAAGAGATACCATGACCATGGTGACACTTACAAAGAGAAACATTTAATTGGGGCTGGTTTACAGTTCAGAAGTTTAATCTATTATCATCACAGCAGCATACAGGCAGACATGGTGCTGGAGAAAGAGTGGAGAGTTCTTCATCTTGATTCATGGGCAGCAGCATATGACTGTGTGCCACACTGGGTGTAGCTTAAGCATGTAAGGCCTCCACATTTGCCTCAACAGTGACGACACACTTCCTCCAAGACCACATCTACTCCAATAGGACCATAACTTTGCCCAAGCATTTCAAACACATGAGTTTATAGTGGCCATTCCTGTTTACACCTCCATAATAAGTAAACTAAAAAGGATAGAAACAGAGCTGTGGTACAACATTTGTCTATATACATGGCTATAGGTTTGACCCTTAGTATCACAAGCAATAAGTCACTAGAAGTTGTTTTATGCCCTTGTATTCTTTTGGTCTGTGACCAATCTTTCTGCAGTTTCTTTGTCCCTTTAATAGTTACAATAGGAGATTAATGTCATGGAGCAGGCCTTAGAATAACCCAGAAAATGGTTGGCTATTCCAATGATGTTCATGACAAAATAATTAGCACCAAGGTACAAATCATGCCAGGACAGTCATTGATATACCTTACATGGCATCATAGATCATATTGAAGCTTATCTTTCTCCTCTAATAGATAGCACTTTCCATCACCATGAACACTAACCAGTAATGATGAAGCTTCCAAGTGATTTATCAGATTGATTTTTTTATGTTCTATGTCTCAAGTAAGGTCTTCAGCAGTGGGATATTAGCATAAAGTTCTTGCAGGTAATAGAGAGCATTGGCAACAGCCTGCGATAACTTGGGGGTTTATTTGACTCAATTGGCCAACAATTAATAGGCACCAAATTGAAATTGAAATAGAGGGCTGGAGAGATGGCTCAGAGGTTAAGAGCACTGACTGCTCTTCCAGAGGTCCTGAGTTCAATTCCCAGCAACCACATGGTAGCTCACAGCCATCTGTAATGAGATCTGGTGCCCTCTTCTGGCCAGCAAGCATACAGACAGACAGAACACTGTATACATAATAAATAAATAAATAAATAAATAAATAAATAAATAAATAAATATTTTTTTTAAAAAAAAAAGAAATTGAAATAGAAATTCAAGGTGTTTCAGAATGACAGAAACCATCACAGGAATGAATCCACCTTTGCTATAGAAGAAGAGTTGCCATGCTTTTGCCAAACTTTATAGTGTCACAAGATAGAATCTTGGTTGTCTGTCAGAACTAGTTGATAAGAACCGATGGGTGAAAACATCACCTATCTTGGTTGGAAGATATAGAAAAAATAAGGTGAAAGGTTCCTCCATGCTGACTAGCTTTCATAGTGATGTAGGAGGGTCTTCTACCTATCTGTTGCTTTCATTGGTTAATTAATAAAGAAAAATGCTTGGCCTGATAGGTCAGAACATAGGTAGGTGGGGAAGACAGAACAGAATGCTGGGAGGAAGAAAGCAGAATCAGACAGATGCCATGCTTCTCATACCCAAGATGGACAGTGGTTAGACTCATGCCGGTAAGCCACAGCCAAGTGGCGATACACATTAATAGAAATGGGTTAATCAAGATGTGATAGTTAGCTAGTAAGAGGATAGAACTAATGGATCAGGCAGTGTTTAAATGAGTACAATTTGTGTGTTGTTATTTCGGGTGAAAAGCTAGCTGTACAGAAGCCAGGTGGGACGAAAAGCAGGCCCGCTCGCCTCATCACTACACATAGTGCCAGAGGATACTACACAAGCAACTGGAGGAGAAAAGTTTTCAGTAGGCTTACCTAGCTGTGAAACTCTTAGGCTAGATATGTCCTCTTTGCTCCAGTGACAAACTGTTATGGGAGCAACTATCTACTCTCTGATTACATTTGAGTCCTGCTCCACAGAAGAGAATGCATTCATGGTTCCATAAACTTGGTCAGAAGTATATTCTTGGAGAAGTCATAAGCCCTGGAGGGGGGAGCTCAATACTACTGTTTAGTAAAATTGACATAGCATCAAAATCCTTTCTAAATATCTATATTGATACCTAATTACAAATCCTACTGTCAGCCTTAATTAAAAAAAAAATGTTTGCTTTGCAGTGAACAAATGTAAATGCAGAGACTTAGTGTTTCATAGGGTGCTGAGAATATGTAATGTTTGAGTACTCAGCCTTAAATAAGATGTTTCTATGACCTCCTCTGAGCTTAGGGAACTGTGGAAGATGGGAAGAGAGATTATAAGATTAGGAGAGGAGCTGCACAATGCCACCTCTGGGTGGAACACCATCTTTGCATTTGAACTCACAACAGCTGTAGTTCCTTAACTAAACCTTTACAAGATTGAACCTGTCATCAGTCAGTATGTCTGTAGACATGCCTCCACCCTTATCTTCACTAGTTAAACTATTGATTACTGAAAGACTTTGGGAAGGATGAGTGATTGTCTTCAGTTGTGTGCCCACTGGTGTACCCACTAAGAACCAATGGACAATTCCAACTCCCAGTCACACAGAAGGCTCTGTTTAAACTCAGATGGTCACAAAACGAAAATATACAATTATGGGAAAGAGATTTGTAGTGGGGGCAGAATGAAAAGATAGGAAGTAAGAATAATCAGAATACATTCTATACATCTATAAAATATCAAAGAATAAATTTAATTAATAAAAGACAGGACCTAGAATTTTCTCAAATGGGAGGCATTCATTCCAAAGATATTAAATATCTCCTTTCTTAAAGCTGAGACAACAAAACACACACACACACACACACACACACACACACACCTACAGTTTAAGAGTGTAGAATATTTTCTGCTATACAAAAAGGATTGCAAGTTCAAGAGAAGTCTAGCCCATATATACCAATATAACAAAACCTAGGCTTAAGAAAGCAATAAACCAAAAAAAAAAAAAAAAAAAACAGGAAAAAAGGAATATTCAATTTAAGGAAT